TGCTTCACACTGTCTTGATCAAGATTGTGTGAAGCTTTTGAGAATTATGGTTGCCCTCCATTGATAAAGCTCTTGTTGGCACCATAAATTGGTTTTGCTTCACAATGTCTTGATCAAGAGTGTGAAGCTTTTGAGAATTGTGGTTGCCCTCTATTAATGAAGCTTTTGAGAATTGTGGTTGCCCCCCATTGAGGGTTTTTTATTATTTGTGAATGCTAGGAGTTCACATGTACAAGTTGTACCACTCATCTTCTGGTAGGTGGAATGAATGGTGAGTTGCTTTTATCACTTGGTTGGTGGTACGAAGATGAGTTCCTTCATCACCTTTCATCACATTTCATCACCTGGTTGGTGGCACGAAGATGAGTTCCTTCTTCACCTGGTTGGTGGCATGAGTGGCAAGTTGCCAAATGATATTAGAGTACGGGTTGTACATTTCATCACCTGGTTGGTGGCATGAAGATGAGTTCCTTCTTCACCTGGTTGGTGGCATGAAGGAGAGTACAGGTTGTACATTTCATCACCTGGTTGGTGGCATGAAGATGAGTTCATTCTTCACATTTCATCACCTGGTTGGTGAGAATAAGGGCAAGGTGTCAAGGCATATTGTAGCGAGTGTCGAATGACATAAAGTATGTTGAACCCTTTCGAATCACAGTTGGCTTATGTATGGATGTGTTGGAATATATGATGTTTATGTATGAATGTGTTGGAATGTATGATGTTTATGTATGAATGTGTTGGAATGTATGATGTTTATGTATGAATGTGTTGGAATGTATGATATTTATGTTGATTGATATGAGTGATGCTTATGAATGTTTTGATATTCATGGAGGGATCCATGCTTTTGATATGTGAACCATGTTGGTTGTAACACTTAGTATCACATACTTTGTGTCAAAGTACGGATGTTGAAGCTTTGAGTTGAAGTATAAGGGTAGGTCAGTGTAGACCAAGTGTTCGAGTGCTAGGAACTCAAAAGACTCAGAAGAAGTTGTCTAAATTCCATTTTCTTTAAATATTTACCAAATGGCTTGTGTGACAAAAGATCTCAAATGATTAAGAGTCAAAACATTTGTAATGTGTATGTCTTCTTATTATAGCATTTCCTTCAGTACCTAGTCCTCCACTTTGAAAGAGTGAGGCTTGGCCCCATAGTCATAATAGTCGACGGTACGTTCACCCCTGGTTGTCTTGATACGAACTTTTATCCCTCTTATTGTAATGGGCTTGCTAAGAGTAAAAATCATTCTTCTTACTAAGAGATAGATACGTTTGGTGACTTAGCGAGTAGCTAAATAAGGTAGGAGATGATGCAATGGGTGTCTGAATGGCCAAGATCTCCTCACTTGGTAGAACTTGATTTCCACTTCCCACTTGTTGATAGGGGTTAACCATATAGGGGTTCCCTTGGTATGTTCTTGTTTCGGCGGAGGCGTGGTTGTAAGCATGTGCCATCACCTCAGAGTAAGTCTTCCAAGCGTTGGCATTGATCATGTACTTGAAGAAACAATCACGTAGACCGGCCGTGAAGGCCTTAAGGGCGGTCTTGTCATCTGCCTTAGCGCAACGAGAATACTCATGGCTGAAGCCACCGGTATACTCTCGTAGTAAATCGTCTGGCTTCTGGCGAATAGTGTACAAGTCATCTACAGAATGCAAGCGATCAGTTTAGAAGATGTGTTGAGAGACAAACAGTTTCCTCAGTTCCTCAAATGAGTCTACTGTCTCAGGTGGAAGATGGTAATACCAGTTTAGAGCTCCACCAAAGAGGATGGATGGGAAGAGAAAACATCGCTCTTCGTCGGTATGCATCTGATATGCCATGGTGGACTCAAAGAGGTTAAGGCGTTCAATTGGGTCCTCCATTCCAGTATAGAGTTGTAAACCAAGATTTTGTTTTGTCTTAGCTTGAAGGGGGTGTCGAGGATCCTCCTTGTGAGAGGGTTAGGCCTGGTTAGTTCCAGTCAGGTATCTCGGCCTGACGTTTGGCTTTCAACTTGTTTACTTCCTCAATGAGCTGTAGGACAACGGGGTCCTGAGTGGAGTCATGTACCACTGGAATTTTCTTTCGTAAGTCTCCATCGCCTCTTGGAAGTAGGAAAGTTTGAGCAATGGCGTGTGGCTTTTCCTTAGACTCGTCGTACTGACTTCTAGGGCGAGTTTATTGGAATACCTCAGAGTCACATGTACCTTCATGTTCCTCTGGGACCTGTCGTTCCTTCCCTAGATTGGCAGATGGCCTGGGTCGTGGGATAGGACTGAGTTTTTCAGTAACCCTTGGGTTATTGATCTTCGAGCATATGTGGAGGGGATTCTCTCGACGTTGCTTTAGGAAGCCTCGGCAGTCACGATAAACGGCTTTCGATCCTTCCAACCCTTCTGCAAGGAGGTGTCTTCCTCCACTTCTCCTACTTCGGGTCGAAGCATCTGGGTTGAGAGAAGTCTCATGTTGATCAATGTTTTGATGATTTGCTCGCTCCTCATCAGGGATACACATGTCGAATGAAGGTGACTCTCCGTGTTGGGAGGCACCCAAATGATGGTTGATGTCCACAGGGGCAACGAGCTCGCGTGTTTGAGTACGCCTAGTTTCGTGGAGCGTCTCAAAGAGCTTCTCATACTGCTCCTGGAGGACATCATTCTTCATTGCTATCTTGTTGTTCTGAGCTTCTAACTCATCGACTTTAGCTTGAAGAGCAACCCTTGTTCCTTCCTTCTTTCGTTGTTTTAAACTAGGTGCAAGATGGGTGTCATTTTGTGTGATATGGCTTCCTTCGCTCCCCATGTTGGAGAAGGATGTCTGGTCAAAAGAGAGTGTACGCATGGTGGAAACCAGCTTGGCAAAGCTGAAAGAGTGGGAATAAGTGTTGTTTCCCATAGACGGCGCCAAATGTTTATGCACAAAATCAGTGAGGACCTTGGTATAAGAGAAAGTGTCAAGTTTGTGACCTTCGCTAGATTGCTCCGGTCACTAGTGTGGATAAGTATGTAAATCGATAGAGACAGGGAAGCAAACACAAGATGTACGTGGTTCACCCAGATTGGTTACGTCCACAGAGTAGAGGAGTTCTCATTAATTTTGAAGGGTTTACACAAGTACATAGGTTCAAGCTCTCTTTTAGTGAGTACAAGTGAATGATTTAGTACAAATGACATTAGGAAATATTGTGGGAGAATGATCTCCTTTTATAGAAGAGTTTCTAGCTTTGTTTTGACATTGACACGTGTCGTGTTGTGATTGGCTTCTAATGTTGACACTTGTCATGCTGTGATTGGCTTCTGATGTCAACACGTGTCGCATTGTGATTAGCCTTCTGGTTTGAGGGAAACGCTTCTGGGTCCTTGACGGTATAACGTTGACCGATGCTCAGTAGTTTCGGGATTGGTCAAGTATGGTACAAACAAAGTTGAACATCTCGTACCCCCTGTTCACACCAAGAACGGCCTAGCAGAGGCTTTCATTAAGCGCTTACTACATACCAAGCTCTTGATCACTGCTTGGGGCCATGCAATATTGCATGCAGCAAAGTTGGTCCACCTGAGGCTTGTTGTGACACAACCATTTAGTGCCCTTCAGTTGGTTCACAGATACGAACCCGACATATTGCATCTACACGTTTTTTGTTATGCGATATATGTGCCGATCTAAACGCCTTTACGTACAAATATAGGGCCTTAGCGAAGGATGGGAATCTATGTCGGATATGATTCTCCTTCGATTATTTGTTACTTTTTGACAGGTGATCTATTTACCGCCGTTTCGCGGATTGTCACTTATATAAGACAGTCTTCATGTCGTTAGGGGGAGATAAAAATGCCAACGTTTCTAAAGAATGACGCGAATTATCGTGGAGAACCCCCACTTTGTCTCATTTAGATCCCCACACCGCTTAGTCTAAAACTGAAGTGCAGCGCATATTAGATCTCCAGAGCATAGCTCAGAGCATGCCAGTTGCTTTCACCGATCTAGCGCGTGACAAGATCACATATTCTAGCTGCGAATACGCCTGCAAAGATGGATGTACCAAATGTACGACGGACTTCCCTCCTGGAGGCCTAGGACACTAATCTTGGTGATCCACGTACATTAGCGGCTAGCCAATCATATGCCCCTACATAAAAGCGTGGCAAACCTCTTGGTTCAAAGGATTCACACCCCTGGAAGAGGAAATCCATGGCACAATGTAGTTTGTGCTTTTGGATTTCTTGTATTGGGCTGGTCATACCTTGTAGAGTTGTAGGCATGGGCTAATGTTTTTTCATTAGCCTCAAACAAATTTGAATTGGAAAGATGCAACTGATGTTGAATTAGGTTAAAGAATAAAATGGAAATTGGTACTCTCAAAATCTCATTTTGCACTTCAAATTTTCTGTAATTAGAAAGAAAAATACACTTGTGAAAACTATAAAATAAGATTTTTGGAGTGCTAATAACAGTTTCCAATAAAATAAGTGTTTAATTATTTTTAAGGCCAATTTAGCCTCTGAATTATCATCTAAGTGAAAATTAGGTCCCTAAACTATTTTTCAGAAAAAACAATCCTTAAACTATAAAAATTTGCCAATTACATCCCTAATATTAGATTCAATGCTACTATATTCAATTTTCCGTCAATTTAAGTCATATTGTTTGCATGTGATACTCATTGGAGGGTAGATTGGTAATTTTTCATAAAGAAATAATGTATAGAGTTAACTTTGGATGGTAAATTAAACATTAGATTCGCAACCTATATGAAATGTTAAGGGCTTATAGGCGAAAAATTGATGGTATTACACTCTAAAGTGTGTCAAGTGACTTAAGTTGACGGAAAATTGCTTTGAATATAATAATAGGGATGAAATTAGCAAATTTTCATGAATTTAGGAACTAATTTTACCGAAAAAATAATTTAAGAACCTAATTTTAACTGAGATAGTTCAAAGACTAAATCGACACTTCGCCCTATTTTTAATTCTATTTTTTGTTCTTATATTTTGATTTATATATACGATTAATGCAATTGAAATAGACTTTGTATATAATTTTGTGAACAAAAATATTCAGCTGGCGGTTTGGCCATTATTTCAAAAATCCATGTCCAGCACTGCTTAGATCTCATCTAGGCACTAAGCAGTTGCCTACCGCAACGACTGAGAAATCGTTCTACGGTGTTGGTCAACAGTACCCCTTTTCACCCCTTCCCACGACAATTCCTGGTTTCGCCACTGAATGCATAAACACACGTACTATGTGTATATATGTATATATATATATATATATATATATATAACTACACTTTTGGATTTGGAGGAGGAAGCAGCCATTTGGAACCCTGAATATATCCAAGGCTAATGAAAGGCTTGACTTGTTCGTCTGTTAGTTCTTTGCTCAAATTTCTCTTATTATATATACTTGAACCTTGACCAATGCACTTGTACTCTCCGTAGGACACAGTGCTGCAATTTCAAATTATATTATTAACTCTCGAAACCAATTATATGAAAATGCTTAATCATGTACTAATTAACGTAATCTGCTTACTTGTCACGTTCGGGGTGGTTATCGTTGCTCCAACCGGCAGGGTTAACTACCTCGGTCATGCTGGTGTAAGCATACACCACCTGAGGTCTAACTCTCCAAGCCCTACCCAAATATGTGCCACTGCCTATCCCAGTTATGTTGCAGTGAACAAATGAGTATCCAGTGTCCTCCGAAGCTGAGTCCCTTGCTTGTGCTGTTATCACTGTTATTCCAGTATCTCCCAGCACATGCAACTCGGTGTTCTGCACCCATTAATTATATGTTACATTATTAGTCACCAACCATCAAGAGTTCAAAACCAATATGACTTATATCGACAAACAAAAAGATTAACTATATATATATTCTTGTTAATCCACCCAAATTATGTTTTGAAAGGGGGAAGGGGAACAATCTTGGAATCCAATGTTTATATGGTGAGACTCGCACAACCCACTTCACTAATGTCGTTCCTATATATGACCTGAATTCATACATAATTTTTTTAGGGGTTTTTGAACTTTAATCCCTCAAGAAGATTAAAATTTAAAAAAATCTTGGTGTTAGATTAAATATTGATTTTAGTCCCTAATGTGCCCTTAATTCAAAATAATTAATGTGCATTTTATTTAATGTCTCCCATTAAATATTTAAATTTATTAATACACAAATTTTAATTTATTTTTTGACCAAAAAAGAGTTTTTTAATTTATTAATTTTATTTAACATTCTTCAAACTTGAAAGACTCAATTAATGTACCTAAATGTTAGTACCGAAATATATTATATTAAACTAATATATTTAAATGTTAGTACCAAAATGTATGTACCTAAATATATGCACCGAAACGTATTAACATAATATTAATGTACCTAAATGTATGTACCGAAATGTATGCACTGAAATGTTAGTACCGAAAATGTATTATATTGAATTAATGTACCTAAATGTTTGTATCGAAATGTATGTACCAAAATGTGTGTACCTAAATGTATGCACCGAAATGTATTATAATGAATTTAATATACCTAAATAAAGAAGATAAAGTACATCAAAATAAATTGTATAACAAAAATTAGTTTATCTAAATGTTCACAACAAAATATATTACGATAAATGAAATGAAAATAAAAATTATAATGAAATAACATTAATACATTAAAAATTAGAAAGAAAAAGATAAATAATTAAAAAATCAAAATATAATTAATAAATGAGGTTATTAATGTATCAAGAGACTAAAATTAGATTTTGATCTTACTCATGGTTTTAATCAAAAAATCATCTTTGCCAGGATTAAAATGAAGTTTTCTATTTTTTTTTTACAAAGAAAAAGATAATTGTATGAGTCAACCATATTTAACTTTTTTTTTTTCTCACAACATGTACGTAAAATACACCGTTACGGTGAGACTCGTCCATTAAAATCACCGGCTTTATTTGGGAATTATAGTGTTAGATAGGGAGACATTACCAAATAGAGAGACTTTCCACTTCCCCAAATGAAATCCACAGTGCCTTCAATGTAGCAGTCCTTGAACAAATGATTGCCCCTGTCATCACAAAGGGTGTCCTGAAATCCAACCAACTTGCAATTGTACAAGGCTGAATTGTTGCCCGACACCCTCAATGCCACCGCCTGCGCTCCCACTCTTTTCCCATCTGGCCTTGGCGAAGAGTTCTACACAAACCAATCCACCAAGAGAATGTTAATGAAAAATAATTGTGTGACGGTAATATCACGTGATATGATCTAGTTAGTACTTTAATAAGAAGGTTAGCGGCAACAAAGTAGTCAGATTCTGCAATCACTGTAGCACTGTTTACAGTTCCATACTTCTGGGCCGTGCCATCAAATGTCAAATTTGGCATATTTGATGGAGAACCATATAAAGTGACAAATGGTTTATTTCGTGGAATCATAATTTTTTCGTTGTACTCTCCTCCGCCAACATGCACAATGACACGTTTCGTGTTCCCGGCCGGAATGCTATTAATAGCGTCAGTGACGGTCTTGAAGTCTCCTTTTCCATCTTGCATGACCTTGATGACTGTTTGACCAGCCTCGGCCGTCACAACGGCAGGGTCAAGCGTGCTCTGCCGTTCTGTGTATGGCTTCGCATTGTTATCGAACCATGTGTTGATTTGGGAATGGTCGGATGGTATCGGTGTATTGTCGTCCGCCGTGGCAACGGTGGCGGTGAGGAGAATTGTCATAATTAGAGCTGCATGGACGCCCATGCATGTGTTTTTTCCGGCCATTTTATTTTTTGGGGTGCTATTGATTAAAATGGTGAGTAGAAGGTTTTGATTTTATAGTCCACAAAGCATTAGGTGCTTTAAGGTAAAGTGCATTATTAGAGGGGTTATTACCCAAAATATGTGAGACTTGGAGAACTTTTCGGATAGTTTGGATGTCATTTTGGGGTTCATGTTTGCTGGGATTTCATATCCACCCTTTGTGTTAACTAAACAAAAACACCACTATCTATGGAAGCTACAGCTTAATTTGAGAAAGAACATGGATAATTATGGTTTTATGATTGATATATTTATCGCAACACTCTTAAAACTCGAATGCCATCTAATATCTCTTTTAAAATTCTTTTTCCTCACACTTAATTCTCTAGAAGTATACTTCATCTCTCACTATTTCTCATTCCGTCAAAGGAACGTTAGAATAGCCTGCGATGCTATATATGTCGTTTATATTATAGAAGATTAAAATAAATTAATTAAGATAACTATTATTGTCACTCTAAAAATCTAATCATGCACTCTTTATAAGAGTATGTTTCTTTCTAAATATAAAAAGTTTAGAGTGCACAATTAAATCTTTAGTCCTAATGATGGTGTGCTGAAAACGGAGGGATGAAGGAAAGTGGTGGGTCTTTAATTAAGAAAGCCCCATCGACATTAATAATTTTTGGAAAACCGGTGGGAGGTTTGGACTCCTGCCACCGGCTGATAGAGCGGCAAACAACCAAGTTAGGGCCTTCATACTTACCATTCCACAGAAGCTCATTCCTTGCCCTCCAAATAAACCATAGGAGCATAAGGAAGCACTCGAAATCACAATTGGACGAGCTACTTGAGGTGAAGGAGACCCAATCCATACGGACACGTCAATCTAGTGCCGTATCCTGTATCCAATGCAGTATTGGTTACGCGTATCAAATTAACACAATAATTATTAGATAAAACAGAAAAAGATGTTTTAGAAAAAATTATTTTGAAAAAAAATCTCTCTATCCATACAAAAACTGAAGAGTTCAAGAGAGCAATATTTGTGATTCATATATTAGGCGTATTGTTGGGATATATATTAACTGTTGTATATTTTAAAATCCAAAACGATATTATTGTGAAGATAAATACAAAACACATGAGTCGCCTAAAATTTATCAAACACAAGGTATATAATCCTACTTAAATTATGCTTTTTTTAACAAACGATATTATCTACACTAAAAGAGGGGGATGAGCTTTGCCTCACAACGGACTAACAATACTATGGTTCGGCGAGAATCGAACCTAAGACCTTTCACTTACAAGTAAAGAGGAAAATCACTGGACCGTACCTAGTGCTAAGTAGCTTAAACTATGTTTTATTAGAAGTCAATCAAAACTAGCTAGCCCAAGGTCACATTGAAATCTTTCCAGGAATCCTCACAGTTCACATGGTTAGTCCATTTCAAACGATGTCTGGTTCGAATTCGATAAGCTCTCGAACTTCTTCCAATCATGAATCACCGCCGTCAGATCAGCCACCTTGGCGCTTATAGTTCGGCAGCAATTGGCATGAACCGTCGTGACAGCTTTGAAGTCCTTGCTGACTTCACAGAAGCCACTGAAATAAAGTGTGTCTAAAAATTTCACACTGAGGCCTAATTCTCTGAAAACACCTTCATGCATCATGCTGTCTAAAACATCCTGCTCTTTCATTCCGGTGGAGTTATTCTTCCTGTCGTACCACTTTTCGAATAACGAAATTGTTCGGTTGTTGGATCTGACCATGTAAAAGCCTGTGTTGATGGGGTTGGATTCAGACCATTGATCCCCATTGAACTTATCAGCACTGATTTGAAGATCCATGCTCTCATTGAAGCTATTTAGCCTTGGAAATGGATTCCTTAGCCACATCACATCTATGTCCTGGAATTGGAAATTGGATATATATATTTAAGCTAATTATAAGTCCAATTTAGAACTATAAACACAAAAATAAGGTATCATTTAAATTAAAACATAATACTAATTGAATTTTTACAATACGATGATAGAGGCAAATTAATTATGTTGAGAAAGCTTACTGTGAATACGAAACTGTAGCCCCACTTGAGCAAATCTTTGAGGAAGAGAGTTCTCCTCCACATCATCTTAATAAATTCCTGTGACATATAGAGTTTCTCAGACTCAAAATTGGCGTGATCATCTGCTTCGAGTTTGTATCAGTGAAGGTGGAGAAACCTACAACGTTCAAAAGATGTTTGGTCGACCGCAACAAGAAGTAGGTGAGGAATCAAGCCTCTTGTGTCTTCTCCAAGCCAGAACCCATCTAAAAACAAATCAAGCATTGGCTTATCTCCTTCTACATAGGCCTTATTTACAATTGCAATTATCACAGTCTTGTCTGCCATGGAAGCCTCGGATAAAGCTGATTCAAGCGCATCTGTATAATTTCTTGTGTTGCTCTTCAAATTTAATATGAACATATTAATCACCATAAAATTATAGATCAAGCAAAATAAAACAACAAAACAAAAGTAGAAAAAGATGGTTGATATTACCTGGGTAGAGGGCTTACAGTATTGGCTAGACTGGAAGGCAAACAGTGGTATCGATCCATCTGAGGTCTGGTTGAATATAAAAAACAGTAACAAACCAGCAAAGAGAAAGCATAATATTGTAGCATGTCTACTTTCCATGTCTGAGAACCCTTTATTAGCTAATTAAGGTGTGATTAGGGGCTTATTGTATTATATGCTGGCTTAATTTCTAAACAGTATCACGGAATATTGTAGTCTTCCATCCATAAAAACTGAAGAATTTCACGAAACCACCGAGTCACGCATTTTGCGACTCACAGTAATTAGGAACGATATTAGGGGGATACACTGTTTGTTTTAAATTCTGAATACGAGAACTCTAAAATTGAAAACGGTTTAGCTATTAATTACATGAATATATATATCAACACAAACAAGATAAAAAGAAGGTCATTACCTAACTTTTGGTTTTCGGTCCTGGAATTTAGGCCTTTTGCCCAACTAATCTTATCCCAACTATAACACTACAGTATCAGATATAGCAAGGACTAATTATTCTTTACACCCATGTGTTTACTATATCCAATTTCAGTAAATTTATAAATTCGAATTTTTGTCAAAATCTCAAGTTTATTTCTCATCCAAATATAGTGTAAAATTCAATGCATGCCAACTTTCTCAGAAGTCAAACACCTAGTGCTAGAGTTCAAATCTTCTGCATCCGTTTTGCGTGTGACATCTTTGTAGCCTTTATCATTGATTGATACGTCTTAATAAACTTACCACTATTTAAATTTATACATTTTGATTTTTGTCAAAATCTCAAGTTTATTTCTCTCATCCAAATATAGTGTAAAATTCTCTACATGCCAACTTTCTCATAGGTCAAACACGTAATGTTAGAGTTCAAATCTTGTGCACCTGTTTTGTGTGTGACATCTTTATGACATCTATCATTGATTAACACATCTTAATAAACTTACCACTGTTTAACTTTGTCGTCATAAACTTACACACGTATCAACAAATGATAGAGGGCAAAGAGAAGTCACACACAAAATGGTGCACAAGATTTGATCCCATACTGCTTCACATGGGCATGATGTGGATTGGACCTCTTGATGCTCAATGAAAAGGGGTGTGTGAATGACGTCACTCAATTAAAATTGAGTATATATAGTTAAAGGCCGTTACAAAGTTTTAAAATCCCAATTCATAAATAGTAGAGAAAAAATATTTATCAAACATAAACTAACCAAATTAAAATAGAAACAAAAAATCTATGTTTCTAACTCCTAGACTCCTATACTATTACCACACTTGGAAGAAATACAAAGAATAGAAAAGTAAAAACAAAATTATATAACTAGGAACATAGCATAACCAACCATAAAATGAGATAGTTCATATAAATAATCATCTCCATGTTTATATATAAAATCATTACTTGAAAAATCTGGTATGATCTAATGACATTGAGTCTATACTTTATTGGAGGAGGTAATGAGTTCAAAGGAATACAAAACAAAAATTGTTACTTAAAAATACAACAATCATTTATTTATAATTAAATGGCTTAGTGACAAACAATATTATCCTTAGTGGGTTTATCAGTACTGCATAAATAATTTTAAAACAAAGTTATTTAGAAATTCAAATAGTATTTTTTTTGTTGTAAACATTCCTAGTTTAAGTGTGATTGTGTAAATCATAGATTAGATTTGACTCTAGTTATCCTTTCCTATTACAACTTGTATTACTTGGGGAAGAAGAAATATCTTATCTCCTTTTACTACTATAAATAAAGGCACAATGTATGAGGGATAACAACACATATTCCCCTACAATTCTACAAACACATCTTTTTCTCTCTTCTTCTTGTTGTCGGCCCTCATTCTCCTTGTCAGATAAAATAGACCACAACACGTTATCAGCACGATCCTACCGTTGCGCTTAGGAATCTGACGTTGAAGAATTTTTTCTGCTTCAAACCAGTTCATCCATATCATCACGCAATCAGGTTCTTTCAAAACAATGGTTTTTATCTCGATATTTTTGTAGCCCTGATAACATGAACAATCACCATAATGCATGACCCAACTTTATGTTTTTCAAATTTTAGATTCTACATAAATTATGTATGCATTATATCCATAATTGTTGAATTATGTGAATTTGATATTTGTCATGAATTGCATCAAATATATGTATATGCATCAAATTAAAATTGTGTATGAATTGAATTTAAAAAAAAAATTGGAATTGGAAAAACTAGGGTTCTTTGAACTCGCGCCCTGCACTTCTCCATCTATGGCGATGGGCCATACCGTGCAAGCCACCAGCACCAGGCCAGCAGCCTACGACGGCTTGGCAAGCCCAACCCAAATATAAAACCCAGGTCGCAAGCCTTGAACCAAAACGATGCATCTAATGCACCACCGTCCCGACACACGACCTGAAGCCCAGGTCTCCCACGTTGATTTTTTCAACGAAAACACGACCTGCAGTCGTGCAATTTAGACAACCTCATTGTT